AATTTAGTAATCATCATAAAACTACAATTGCGCAATATTTATCTGCAGATTTAGAGACTAAACAACAAGAATTTTTAAATCTTATTCAATATCGTCATATTCAATATGATTATCTATTATTATTAATTAGAAATATAGATGAAACACCACTTACTTTTGATATGCCATCTAATATGATAGTTGATACTATAGGAAGTAAGACAGTTAGTATTAGAATCTGTAGACATGAAAAATCTAGTTTTACTGTAGTTCTTGGTTGTATGGCAGATGGAACTAAATTACCACCAATGGTTATTTTCAAGTTAAAAAATATTTCATGGCTTAGATTTCCACCAGGCATAATTATTTGTACTAATGAAAAGGGGTGGATGAATATAGAGGAAATGATTTATTGGATTGACTACGTATAGAATTATCATTTACCAAATGCTAAAAATCCACGATCATTACTTGTTATGGATTCTTTTTAAGCACATATAGTCTCTCCTGTTAAAAATCATATTTTAGAAAAAAATACTAACCTCGTTGTTGTTTCTGGAGGCTTAACGCCAAAAGTTTAACTTCTTGACATTGCAATCAATAAATCGTTCAAGTCAAAGATCTATTTTTTTATTTTATTAATTAATTTATTTATAAAGATTTAATTTTATTTTAATAGATTAGAAAGTTTTATAACGATTGGATGTCTCCAGAAATAAAAAAATTAACTCCAACTGGCAAAATTTAACATCCCACATATAATATTATTGCTGAATAGATTAAAAATGCATAGGATTCTGTTGATACACAGCTTATTCAATGTTCTTTTAAATGTTGTGATGTGTCAACTATGATAGATGAATCTGAAGAAAATATGATCTTTGATTATGATAGTTTAGGTAATTATGATCGTGATAGTATCATTTATATAAATTAAAGTTATTGACTATAATATTCTATACAGATGAGTTTGAATATTATGAAACTAGTGACAATGTTTATAGTAATGAAGAAGTTTTTGAAAAACCTAATTTCGTAGTTCAACAAGATCAAGCACCCTTTATGACATTTAATGAAAATCAAGAATATAATGAGTTTGAATCATATTATATTTTACAAGAAGCAGGCAATTATATAAACTAGTAGGATTAAATTTTATATTAGATATGAATTCAATTTTTAAGTTCTGCAAACATAAATCGATAATTATATTAAAATATTTATTATAAATCAATAGTCCATAGTGAACTTTATAATATGGTTTTACAATATAGTCATAATGAAAATTTACAAAACTACATGAAAGCAAATTTTATAAAACTGCAATAGACAGATAAATTACATATTGCTAAAGAAATAAGCTTTGATTATACTTGTTTTTAAATAGTATCATTATTGATAATAAAATAAATATTATTTAATATTTATATTGCAATGTAGATGAGAATCAAAAGAGCTTTAAATATATCATTGAATTCTTTTAAGTAATAAACCGGTAATATACTCGGTCTTGTACTAAAAATACAGGTTATAAACCTGGTAATATATCTGGTATAAATCAAGAGGGTACAGTCAACAGAGGTACTCTACAAGGCAAAATATTAAAGGTAAAAGAATACAATATTGAATATTATGCACTTATAAATTTATATTATAAATATTATATTAATCTATCAGGTTTATCATGAGATAAAGATAAATTCTTATACATATTAGTTTTTCTAGTTAATTTATTGTGTCTATGTATACAATAGCTTCTAGATCTGAAAAATAG